CCAACACCGACTACGACAACTGGCGGCGGGACGGCCCCGTGTGCGGCCGGGCCTGTGTCGACGTGTCCCGGGACCTGCGCTGGGAGGAGCGGCGCTGCCAGGACTCCCTGGACGGCTTCCTGTGCGAGTACAACTACCCCGGCACGTGCCGGGGGCTGCCCGGCGGGGACGTGACCTACCGCACCCCCTTCGGGGCGCAGGACAGTGACTTGGTGGCCCTGCCGCCGGACACCGAGGCTTGGCTCCCCGCGCTGGGCTTGGAACTGGTGTGCAAGAAGCAGGATGGCGGGCGTTTCAGGTGGAGCACCCACCTGCCCGGGGCCTGGGCCTGCCAGGTGGAGAACGGGGGGTGCGAGGGCACATGCCAGGAGAAGGACGGGCATCCCTCCTGCGCCTGCCCCGAGGGGAGGAAGCTGGAGGCGGACGACCGCAGCTGCTCAGCCCCCTGCGCCAGTGCCCCTTGCGAGCAGCTCTGCGTCCCCCACGGGGCCGACTTCATCTGCATGTGCCACGAGGGCTACGAGCTGACCGAGGATGGCATTCACTGCCGAGACATCGACGACTGTCAAGTGAACCCGCAGGTCTGCGAACAGATATGCATCAACACCGAAGGGGGCTTCGAGTGCCATTGCCACCAGGGCTATGAGCTGGTGGAGGGGAAATGCAAAGATGTGATAGACTGCTACACAGTCTTCTGCCAGCACCACTGTGAGGACATCCCTGGGGGTTACAGATGCATCTGCTTCGAAGGCTATGCCCCTCACCCTAAGGACCCTTTCAAATGCGTCTTGTTTTGCAACGAGAGTCAATGCCCTGCTGAATGCGACCCCCATGTCCAGAGTAATTGCATGTGCCCTGACGGGTTCATCTTGGATGAAACTGAGACGGGTCCCAAAATGTGTATAGACATCAATGAGTGTGAAATGCAGCATTGTGATGGGATCTGCACGAATACGCTAGGAAGCTTCAGGTGCGATTGCCCTGAGGGGCAGGTCCTCCATGACCCGTACACATGTGTAAATAGGAGTGATTTCGAAATAGAGATTTCAGGGAGCGGTGAAATTTACCCGCAAACACCAGTCCCCACCCAGCTCCCACCAGCTAAGAGCCTCCACCCTGGGGCTCTGGTTGGCATCATCGTGGGCACTCTGTCCATGATCATCATCCTGATAGCCCTCATCTACCACCTAATGAAGAAGCATTTCATCGCCCAAAGAGGCATGGACTATAAATGTAGCAGCAGTATAGAAAAGGAAGTGGGACTGTATCACGTTACCCCAGGATGTTCCTCTGCTGGCCAGAAATTGTAGAGATTCAGACTGAAATGAAAGGAAAAAATAGAGAACAGGCTGAGATTTTTTTCATAATTCCAATGAAAAACAGAATTCAGGAAAAGTTATGAATGATTTTTCTTGGGGGGAGGGGGTGGGGAGTGAAAAAAGAGGTTCACCACGTTTTTTGCCAGTTCTAGAAACTATCTCTTGCAAGGCACTGGAGATCTAAATGCCACTGCATGCAGTAGAGAGCTACTGCCACTGTGCCCTCTGTAAGGAAATTGGCAGATAGATGCCTTTCGGTCCCCCACCATTCGCGACACGGTGACCTCAATGGAATTGAAAGAAAGAACTTTATTTCTGAGAAGAATGTCCAGGTTTGGAACTGACTATTTTAATGTATCTTGACTGTAAGGCAAGCGAGTATATACAACTCTGATCTAAGAGTAATAGACCTTGGGGCAGCTCAACCCAAGTGGCTCTTTTCCAGAGGCAGTATCAGGAGTTCTTTTCTGCATCAGCCAAGAAGAAGAGCTGGAATGCTGCTGCATTTATTTAGGTTGGTTTTTTGTTTTGTGTGGGTTTTTTTAAAAACTGAGAATTACTAAAGAACTAGCGAAGTTCTTTTGGTCAGTGCTTCTCCTAGTTTCATCTCCTTGTCTTTATAGTCTGTAGGAAACTAAAACTCTCATCTCTGTCTTTCTGTATCTAGCCACCTACCTGTCCATCCACTTTTCTTCCTTCTTTTGGATGTTACAGTGTTACCCATCATTATCATATCTGAGCACCTTCTGCAGAAAGTTAAGAGCAGTAGTGAAATCCCTGGTGAATGTTTGTCACTTTTCCCTCTTTGGGAACAAAAATGATTTTGTTGATGTTTGTTTGTGATGGTGTTTTGTTTTGGGGGGTGTTGGTGTGAATGGTATGTATGTCACTCTATTTCCAGGAGAAATGCCTTTTCGTTTTTATGTTGTGCCTTCTGTTCCATACCACAATTTCTCCAGTGATTTTGTTACCCTCCTCTCCCTGTCAGATTAAATCATCATTAACAAACCCTTTTAGCAGCCTCCCTGTTGACAACAGTGCATTTTTGCCTTGCTCTACTAAATGCCTTAGTTCTGGCTAGGTCACCTCTGTGGACCTGGTTTAATTCACATTCAGGTCAGTGACAAAACTTCCATTGACTTTAAAGGGAGGAGGATCAAGCCCTGCGTCTTTGCATTTTAACATTATACTGGGGGAAACCTGGAACATTTTTTTCATATTTGCCTAATCAGACAATGGATTAGGAGACTATAATCTAGGATAAGGCCTGAATACAAAGGAGACTGTAGTGTGATTCAGTTCCATCACATTATATGGGAGAAAAAAAAGTATTCAGACACCACAAATCCTGTTTATATTCTGTCAGTGGAGGCTTGCTTGGACTGTAACTTTAACAGGAGCCCAAGTGACTGCAAGCAGATACGTATATCTGTGAAATATCTGCATATGGCATTTTCTAGCAGTACTTTACAATTCTGGGACTGTAAAATCAGACAATCAGATGACTGCTTGCAAATAATTGACAGAAGCATGCAGGCCACCAGCTGGTTGTAGTTAAGAAAGTTTGCTGTTAAGTCTGCTTTCAAGCCTTCCCTGCTTCTTAGTGGAAATAACAGGTACATGCAGAGTGAGACTATCACATAGTGTCCTCATTTTTTCCTGATATACCAGAATAATCAAACTACATATTGATTTTCAATAAAGAGCTAAAAGGAGGAACGTGTTATATAAAATTGAGATTTCTGACTGTAAATGGTTCAATCCACTGTTTTTTTGTAAACTTGGCACATTTGTAAATACTTATTTATTTATTGGAAATATACCTTATGCAATGCACAATCACTTTGTGATTTTATATGTCATTAAATAAAGCTTTTACAACCTGGTTTATAGAACATTTGCAGATTAAATGTTCTTTCTTTTCTCGCCACACAACCTCCCTTGATAACAGAAGGTGTTGGTCTTTCCTAACAAGAATGATTTGTCTTCTTGTCAGGTTTTCCAAATCCTATTGGATACAATGGGAGCTGCTGAAAGCCAGCCAAAACGTACTTTTTATAGTTATCCCACAAATGCAATTATTGTACAGAACAATGGGTTAATAACGGAGAACAAAATTAACATCAAGAGATCAACGTTAAGACATTAGAAATAAAATAATAGCTAAAAAGGACCAATCTGTCTTTGGCTGAACTCTGCTGAGATCTGTTTGCCTATACTGTACAAAACTCCTTTGAAGCCAGTGGATCTTTGTTTGTGTGAGAAATGAACAGGATTCACCTCTGGGTGTTTTTCCTGTGGAAGAGATAATTTAGGTCTTGTTCCTTCATCCAAATCCTTTGACTCAAATGGGAGTTTTGTCTGCAGTACTGGGTCTACAGTTTATAACTTAACTCTGTTAAAATTAGTCACAGTGGGTGCTCACAGCACCTGCCACAGTTCAGGGGAAACACAGCTTCCTTTATAATCTTCCTTTTCCAGCTGTTCATAAATTTGGCAAATTACTTCCTTGGGATCTAAAATTTCTTGGGCCTGTTCTCAGCCTTGGGGTGAGTTTGTTTATGTAAAGTTTCAGCAAAATGTGCTCAGCAGCTTCTCAACGTGGCTTACAGGAAGAATACAGTCTCTTTCAGATGCTCTGATCAGAAATGGTGTGTCCTGAAGAATGAGGCATGGTGCTGAATATGTGGAGACCCTGTTTGTTATCCTGGCTTTGATAGCTACTCCCTGTGTAATTATACAAAAACCCTTTAAACTTCATGCCTGAATTTCCCCATCTTTAAAATGGAGATGATGTCGCTCACCTCCCAGGGAGTTCATGAGGAATAACTAGTTAATATCCACCCAGAGCTGTGAAAAAAATGAAAAGTGTTTTGTGAACAACAGTAAGGGTAGAATGAACTTTCCACACAGTATCCTACCTCAAATGATTTCTACAGAGAAGAGAGCAGGCTAGAGACTTCTGTAGGTGTATATGTCTAGCAGGGATGGAAAGTATCAGGGTACCTTGGAAAAGCTGCCAGAAACATTTTCTTGGGAGAATAGAAAACCAAGGGTGGAAGCTGGGTCCTAACTGGGGGCTGGACTTGATGATCTTCTGAGGTCCCTTCCAGCCCTAATGACTATGAAATCTATGAAACTGACTTTAACAGGAATTTTACCATTGCCAGAAATGTTGATATAGGGGGAAAGCATGACAATAACCAGTCAAGGGGTAGTTATCCATGGCTAGTCATGAGGCTTTTGCCAGGAGAGTTGGTTTTGTAAAACCCCAGTCAAAGTGTGGTTTTTGTGCATCACAGATGGCAGGATTCCAGTGACCTCATTCCGCAACAGTCATGAATTGATCAATCTTCAAGGACAGCTGGGTTATAGTGCCAATGTAAATAGCTATCCTTTTCAGAGCTTGCAAACGGTATGTGCAATTTTTATTGCTTTAATATTCTATCATTAAAATGATGACAACAACAACATGTACCTCAAGTCTCCAAGAAACAGGAAATTTTAGAAGATAAAAAATATTTGCCTTGACGTAATTTAGAGCTGACAGATCAACCCTTCCTTTAGTAGGAATTGTCCTTGTTTCTGATACCTAGTCTCATTTTGTGTGTGTGTTTGTGTTGGGAGATGTTCAAAGTGAAACTGAAGACATTTAATTTCATTTAATGTTTCTTTCCCAGGATGCCAAGTTAAGCCCTTGGTAGCCAGGACCAATTCTTAGAGGTAACAGAGAACAGGATTTGATCTCTTGGCTTTTTAAGAGTTGATTACTCCTATTCCCCAGCACTGAAGAGGCATCAAGGAACTGGTTGGACTGAACCACAAAATGCTTTCCTTTATTTCCCAGGATTAACTGGGAGCTATGAGAAACAGTATAAGCTAGAGCAACCTTGAGACTGATGTGACTGCTATTAATGACCCAGCCAGATGGGTGCAACAAGCAGTTTCTGCAACTTCAGCCATAGCTGCTATTCTTGCCTCCCCTCCCAAAATCTGGGTCCAAAGCTAGTGCCCTAATTGCTTCCCCTCCCACCTATTTACATTACTGCAGACAGACCCTCCTGCATAGCCCCAGAATAGTCTTGAAATCAACCAGCTCCTTTCATTTCTACTCCTAATGCAGGAAAGGAGTAACTGGAAAACAGCCTCCTTCATTGTAAGAACCTCACAATATCTACTTTCATGGTAATTTTTACTTAAGGATGATACAAGTTGGTAGGTTGCAGATATTTTCCCCTACTGCCACTTAAATCTAATCCTACAACTCACAGAAAGTTAATGAGTTTACTAAAAAAAACCCCCAAAACAACCCCAGAGGCTAATGCCCAGAAGAGGATCAAAATATTTTCATTGGATGGCACTATGCCCCAGTTTGTTTCTCACACCAATTGTTTTACTGGGGGACTAGAATCATAGTCTTCTGTGTGAGGAAGAGGAACAGATTTAGCTGGATATGATATATCCCAGCCTTTTATACACCACACCAACCCCTGCTGTTATCTTCCAAATATACATTCCAGATTATCAACTTCTCCTCAATGGATGCACTGTTTCTTAGAATAAAAACCTCTGCCATGCAATTTTTCTCTCTTTCAATTTCAGGAAAAATTAAAGATCCAATAAGGACATGTGTGCAAGGATACAGCCTTTGTGGTGTATGGGAGAGCTTTTAACATTTTTTTAAAACTAAATTTGGGATGCAGGCCATTTTTTTAGAAGAAAAATGTGGTTTTAAAAAGTAATTTGATATTTGAAGGAATACGGCATGATGGAGCTGACATAGAAATGTGTGGCTGGGAAAGCAAAGTTAAATCAGCTGAGCCATCCTTTGAATGACTCCAAAACCCCCCTGCCTTGTATGAGTAACTGGATTACTGGATCCCTCCTTTTTCAGAAGCTACCCCTCTTTTTCCTTCCTTTCTCCCCTGTCTTCTGAGCTTTGTCTTGGCTTTGTTTGTCAGCACACTTGCTTATACACAGAGAATGGATTACATTCCAGGAGAGCTCCTGCATGTTGTTTGTTTTACACGTAGAGGAGGGAGTAAAATGCAATTAAAGGCCTGATGCTCTGATAGGTGCATCCTCAGGGTCTGTGTATCCTCCTAAAAGGTCCCACGGATAAGCCTTGCACAGTGGAGTTCCTTCCATATTCTTCCCTTTCTCCTTCACATACCAGACTGGAACAATATAGCAGCACTGTGGAGCCTTGGAAAAAAATTTCCATTGACTGACTTGCCCTGAGTGCTCTGGCAGAAGGAGAGACGTGATGGGTGATGTTAGGCAGCCTCCAGCAGAGGGCTGTGTCTGTACATAGCCCTATTTAACAAATGAAAAAACCTCTGTAACTCTCCTTTGCAAGATGCAAAAGGCCATGTGAAAATTGGAAGCATGGGGCAGTGAGGACAGGTTAATAGGCACATTAATATACTTCCCCGAGACTTAAGCACATTCAGCCAGGCACCTAATAAGCAGATTGTGGCAATAATCTTCGAAAAGTCAAAAGGAGCCAAAAGCAATTACATGAACACAAAAGATTCCCCCCACCCCAAATTGCCATAATCTAGTATTTACAATCTAGGTGCCCACTTGGTGTAGCCACACAAAATCATTATCTGCAGAACTGGCACAGCTTTCCATTGTGCCTGTGAAAATCTCCCCCATACTGCCATCTTGTGGGGACCACATGTGTTGAACAGAAGATACATTAGCAAGGAAGTCTAGGCTGGAGAAACAAGGAGACAGACAACATTTAAGAGTTTCCTGAATCAGACAGTACATCTGCTTTTACCCACTTTACTGCCAACATAATTGGTAAATAAAAGCCATTTGTGGAGCCTGCTTCCTTGAGCATATGACACATTAAGCAGTATTCCCCCCCCCCCCCCAACCGCCCCCCCTGTATTAAAAATCATGAGTCAGGGGCTGATCTGTTTGAAAAGGATGATTTTTCAAAAGAAATCTATGTTATATTCTTTTTATTTGGGCTTTGAACCTATAAGTTTCACACTTTCCAACTTTCATTCCTTAGGCATGAGAGCTGGAAGCTAACAGACAAATGAAAGCTGAGAGTTTTGTGTAATCACATGACTCCAAGAGCTGGGTCTTTAAATAAAACACTGACTACCATAAAACTTAAGATAAAATCATAACAGATAAC